GGGTTTGGGTCCAAAAATTGTTGGGAGTGTTTAGCAGGGTTAAAATTTTTGAAGGGTTTTAGGGGGAAAAAGGTTATTTTAAAATAGTCGGACTTGGTCCCGGAAATGGGAAGTACAATGCTGCACTTTTAAAAGGGGGGGGTTTGGATATTGGGGTTTTTGGGGGTTTTGTTTTTGTATCTCTATAAATTATATGGGTTCTTTTTAAAGGGTTTTATTTTGAGCACCTCTGCAAAAAGCAAATGATAAAGTGTGAGGGTGGTGGAAAGTGTTTTTAAAAGATTTATGAAAAGGGAATTTTTTTTTTTTGGGATTTTCTTTTTTTTTTTTTGGGTCCCCCTGCCCCGGCGGGGGGGACGAAACCCATTGTTGAAAAAAAAAAAAAAAAAAAAAAAAAATAATAATAATCGGGTCCCCCCTTACTTACCTTAAAATTTTCTGTTGTTTTAAAGTAGAGTGAGAGGGGGTTAAAAAAGATTAAAAGAAATTAAAAAGAGAGAGAGAATGAGGGGTGTAGAAGGGGCGAGAGTTTTAAAGTAAACAAACATTTTTTGTTGTTGTTCCGCCCGGACACGAATTTGGGGGTTTTTTTCACTTGTCAAGCCAACCCGAAAAAATCTCATTTTGTTAATTTTTATGGTTACATGTTAGGTAGCTTTTTTATTATATAATTTTAAAAAAAAAAAATAAAATGGATTAAGCAAAAAGGGCTTTTTTAATGGGTTTTATTTTTAAATTTAAATGCCCCTCAGTGATTATTATTTTGTTATCTCCCCCAAATTTAAAATGGCATCTTCAAGACCTTTACACTGAAATGGGTTTGAGCAGACAAAACAGACAGGAAAAAAAGGGGCACAGGTGGGCAGAAAAAAAAGAAACCAGGGAGGGCAGAAAGAAGTTTCACAGGTAGACAGAAAAACAGGGAAAAGGGGAGGCAGAAAGCAGACACCCCAAAGGGAGGGAGAAAGACAGACACACGGTAGGGCAGAAGGGCACCCGGTAGACATAAAGCAGACACACAGGTAGACAGAAAGGCAGACAAGCAGACAGAAAAAACCCCAAAGGGAAGGGCAAAACTGGGCAAAGGGAGAAAGACAGACAAAAACAGGTAGACAGAAAAAAACAGACACACAGGTGACAGAAGACACACAGGTAGCAGGGGCAGATACAAAAGGTAGACAGCCGCACAGGTTTGACATAAAGAGACACAAAGGGTAGACAGAAAAGGGGCAGGGGAAAACAGGTTTGACAGGGAAAGGGAAAAACACCCAAAGGTGATAGAAAAAAACACACCAGGTAGAAAAGAAAAGGCCCGAACAGGGGGACAGGACACAAAGGTAACATAAAGAAACATAGGTAGACAGAAAGACGGCACACAGGTAGACAGAAAGAACACAGGGAGACAGGAAAGATAAAAAAGACACACAGAAAACAGAAAAAAGGACAAGTTATACAGGGAGACCCGATACAGAAGGTTTATGTGCAACAGTGAAAACAAATTGAGTTCAAGAGTAAGAGCCTTTTTTTTGCCAAAAATTTCCCGTGCAAGATTCAGAATTCATCTTAGGGGCCATGGTGGGAAAATTTTCTGTCCAGTTTGTTTCGTTAAAAAACAGTTTGATGCGGGTGATGGGCAAGGGTTTAATCAAAAATGAAGCTGCCTGCATGACGCTTTTCCGCCGTGGGGTATCGGTTAAAAAAATTTTTCAGCGGGGTGTGCATCAGTGGGCCCCCCCCAGTGCCAGTTTGGGGGTCGTAAGTCCAGTGGAATTGGGCGGGCGGTCGTTAAAATGGATAGTTTGGGGGTATTTTGTTTTTGTTTTTTTAACAAACTGGCCCTTTTTCCCGCCCAGGCAAAGGGAGCCCCAAAAAGAAAAAAAGAAAAATTTTTTTACTTTTTAAAATTTAGTAAGGTTTCAGGGAGAAAGGGTTACTAGCTCCTTGCTCCAGCCCTTTTAGTCCCTCTTACCCAAAAAATTTGGGTTACATAGGAAGAATTCTTTTCCCCCCGAGGGGGTTGACCCAAAAAAAAAAAAAATCCCCCAAAAAAAAAATACTTTCATCATCATTTAACACTTTTTTACCCACTCATATATAATTTACTGTTTTTGCGAAGTGCCCGTACCAAAATTTTGAAGCCTATTAAAGAAAATAAAACATATCCCCCCAAAATGCCCAAAATCCCAAAACCCCTGTGGAGATATGAGGAAATAAAAAAAACAAAAAACTAGTAAGAAAATACGTGGACCCCGCTTAACGTCCCCCTTCCCCAAAGCGGGCCCAAATTTTGTTGGTGTATTTATGTAAGTGGGTTTTTTACGTGTATTTTTTGGGGGTCTTTAAATGGATAAACTAAATTCACAATATTCCTTATGGGAACAAATTTTGGTCAGTATGGGGACCCGAAATATTCTGGAATGAAAAAAAAATCGTTAAAACCCGGGGGTCCACTGTAGTAGAAAACCCCGAGGGGGGGGGGTATATTTAAAATGCTTTTTACATGCATGTGTCATGTGAAATAAGTGTAAAATAGAAGTTGCAAGACGTACCTTTAAAACCCTTTCATGTTTTTTTTCTGTCTTTCAACAACCCTTGGCCATAAACCCCCTGAGGGAGGGGGCCCAAAAAAGGGAAAAAAAAGGAAAAAATTTTTCCTTTTACATTTAGTAATATACACAAAGGGGAAGGGGTTCCCAGCCCCTTGCTTCCTGGTTTTTTTAGTCACCCCTTACAAAAACGATGGGGGGTTTCGGAGGAAGAAATTCTGATCCACTTCCCCATGGAGTTTAAAAGGAAAAAAACATGAACAAAAACTAGTAAGAAAATAGAAGAAACCCAGGGGGGGGTTTTTGTGTTTATATATATATATGTAGTACTTTTATGTGTAAATGTGACCTAAAATGTAAAAAGAAGTAGCAAAACTACCTGAAAAACTTGTGTTTAGGGGAAAGATAAAAGACCCCCAGCAATCCCACCATCATGTACAACAATTAACCCGGCTTTCAATTTACACTCCCTTGGGGGAGGAGAGTTTTTTACCCCCCTGGAGGGCTGTGGAGGTATATTTTGAGGGAGTTTTTTTAGAAAAGGTTAAAAGAGTTTTCAAGAAATTTTTGGGTTTTTAAAAAGGGAAACGTAGAGTGGATTGGGAAGCAATGTGGCAGGGTGTTTTCAAGTATTGGAATAGGGAGTAAGCTACAATGCTCTTTAAAAAAGGGTTTTTTTGAGGATAGTGAGGCTCAAATTTGGGGGGGGAATATGGAAAAAAGTGAAAGTTTTCAGATATTTGCCCAGTTTACGTTTTCAGTGGTGGGGTTTAGGGGAAGGGTGAGGTTAATCATGAATTGTGAAGGAAAAAAGACGAGTGGTTTTTTTGGGTATAGTATATGGAGGGCCCAAAAAACGTTTTTTCTATGGAGGGAAAAAAAGGAATGTTGGGAAAATTTAAATATTTTCCCAAAATCCCTTTATGGGTGTGAAAGGTTTTGGGGTTTTAAAAGGTTTGGGAGCGGGGGGGGGCGGTTGGAGGCAGTGGGGGATGTCCCTCTAAAAGGGGAATGTGGGGGTTTTTAAAAAAATTTTTCAGAAAATTAGGAGTGTGGAAATTTGGAGATGTGGAGTTACTAAAAGTATTAGTCAGATGGCTGAAGAGGTGGTTTGGTCATTTAGAAAAAATGGAACAAAGTAAAATGACTTGGAGAGCATATAAATCTGTAGGGGAAGGAAGGTGGGGTAGGGGTCATCCTAGAAAAGGTTGGAGGGAGGAGGTAGAGGAGGTTTTGTGGGTGAGGAGCTTGGACTTCTAGCAAGTATGCGTGAGTGTGTTAGATAGGAGTAAATGGAGATGAATGGTTTTTGGGACCTGACAAGCTGTTGGAGTGTGAGCAGGGTAATATTTTGTGAAGGGATTCAGGAAAACAGGTTAGCCGGACTTGAGTCCTGGAAATAGTAAGTACAATGACTGCACTTTAAAGGAGGGGTTTGGGATATTGGCAGTTTGGAGGGACTTCTAAACTGTAGTATCTGAGTGCCTCTGCAAAGACAGTGATTATGCATGAGTGATGAGTGTTGAATGATGACAAAAGTATTTTTCTTTCTTCTTGGGTTTTTTTCTCTTTCTTTTTGGGTCACCCTGCCTTGGTGGGAAATGGCCAATGTGTTAAAAAAAAAAGATATTAAGTCATAAGATAAGTTAGCAGGAATTTAAAACTTTATTATGCAAATTGTTTTACTACATTAGCTATCTGCCACCATGATAAGGTGCTACAAGAGGAAATATTCACAATCATCCATTCAATAGATGTTGTGCCAGAAAAGTACAGACATCACAACTCAATCCTCCTTCAGAGTGCATTCATCTGACTAGCTATTTCTTGGATTCAAGTCCAGCTAATCTATTTTCCCCAAACCTCTTCATATTCTGTATGTAACCAAACCTAACACTGCAGCAGCAGGTCAAATCTTGTCCTCACTAACCCCAATATAAAATGTTCATATGTGCCAGCTGGATGTTCAAACTTGTCATTTAAAACCTTCTTCACACCTCTTTAACTCTTCCTAGGATGACTCCTCCTGCTTCTTTCCATTCTGGATTTATATACCTTCTTAGTCATCTTACTCTGTTTGGTCCTATCTAAATTCCCAAACCACCTCAACAATCCCTCTTATGCCCTCTAAATAATACCTTTTGTAACCTCATACTGTCTAATTTCAATACTAGGAATTCTTTGCATAAAATTCACCACCTCTTTCCTCTCAAACATGACTTGTTTACAGAACTATTATCCTGTTTGAAGAAAGGAAATCAAAGAGGAGAAGGATTACTAACCTTGTAATGCTGTAGCTGAAGTAATTGAAGAACAAATACTTTTTCAATAATTTGATTATATATCTTCCATTCATTATGTGGTGCATCAGTTCACCTGTTAACAATCACCAAATTTTTGTACACAGCTCAACTTACACATTTGGAGAAAAAAAATCTAAAATTTAAATCTCACCTGTCAGTAATTTTTACAAGCTTGGCAATGGTCCAAGCTCGATACTTTGCCAAGGCAGCATTGTATTCTGGAGTGCCCTCTTTACCAAACCTTCTGAGGCGCTCCTCAGCAGGAAAACGGACAGCAGCTTTTGAGGGGTCTATATCAAGGAACAGTTCATCTTCCATCAACAACTGTACTATTGGCTGGTGTAAGGCAGCTGTCAAGAACACCTGAAACAATCTATTATGAAATGCATGAACATCTAGCAATAAAAGTTCCTATTTTAAAATGATTGTACTTCTGCAAATTAGGTAACCTGTAGATCAATGAAAGACCATTTGCCTCACAATCAAAGGAATCTGGATTCAATTCTTAGACAGGACAAGAAATATGGGAAACTTTCCTTATACCTGTTGCCACTATTCATCTGGCAGTAAGAAGATATCTGAGAGTTAGTCAGCTTTTGTGGGTAGCATTCTGGGGGACTAGTAGTATACCTATGATAATGCCAAGCTGTGAAAAGAGCTAAGATGTGAACTCTTAGCTTGCAAACTTATTTGTGAAAGAAAACACAAAGTGGAAAATAATATTCATACTATGTGTATGAGCCAGGCTGTCAGTGAACCAGTGTGGTAGCAGATCAACACTACAATTGTTTATCTTCTCAGTTCTGCTGTTCATGAGGAAGAAAACACAAATTACAGTACCATATTTAGTATCTCTCCATGGGGAAGTGGAACAAAATTCTTCCTCCATAAGTATGCGCGTCATTAGAGGAAACTAAAATGGCAGAAGCAAGGGGTTAGTAACCCCCTCTCCTGTATACATTACTGAAGTTAAAAAGAGAAACTTTCGTTTTTCTTTTTGGGCCACCCTGCTTTGGTGGGATATGGTGAGTTTATTGAAAGAATAAGATTTAATATCTGTGCATTTCTGAAAAGACAGTTGAAGAAAGAGTGATGGTGAATGTTTTTTCTTTTTTTTGTGTCACCTTGCCATGATGGAAGATGACTGATGGTGAATGTTTCCCTCTTTGAGTCACATTACCTTGGAGGGAAACAGTGTGTTAGTGATGATACTATACCCCCTGCAATTTTAAGGCACAGAGACAAAAAAAAAAAAATATATACAGATTCTCCCTGACTTAAGTCCAAGTTCTGTTCTGACTAACCCGTCAGATCTCAAAATGGATGGATTTAGGAATTACGATAGCATGGCATGTAAAAGTCATATACCTGTACAGCATTCTTTTTTTTTTTTTTTTTCAACAAGTCGGTCGTCTCCCACCGAGGCAGGGTGACCCAAAAAAGAAAGAAAATCCCCAAAAAGAAAATACTTTCATCATCATTCAACACTTTCACCACACGCACACATTATCACTGCTTTTGCAGAGGTGCTCAGAATATAACAGTTTAGAAGCATATACATATAAAGATACACAACATATCCCTCCAAACTGCCAATATCCCAAACCCCTCCTTTAAAGTGCAGGCATTGTACTTCCCATTTCCAGGACTCAAGTCCGACTATATGAAAATAACGGTTTCCCTGAATCCCTTCACTAAATATTACCCTGCTCACACTCCAACAGATCGTCAGGTCCCAAGTATCATTCGTCTCCATTCACTCCTATCTAACACGCTCATGCACGCTTGCTGGAAGTCCAAGCCCCTCGCCCACAAAACCTCCTTTACCCCCTCTTTCCAACCCTTTCGAGGACGACCCATACCCCTCTTTCCTTCCCCTATAGATTTATATGCTTTCCATGTCATTCTACTTTGATCCATTCTCTCTAAATGACCAAACCACCTCAACAACCCCTCTTCTGCCCTCTGACTAATGCTTTTATTAACTCCACACCTTCTCCTAATTTCCACACTTCGAATTTTCTGCATAATATTTACACCACACATTGCCCTTAGACAGGACATCTCCACTGCCTCCAACCGTCTCCTCGCTGCTGCATTTACCACCCAAGCTTCACATCCATATAAGTGTTGGTACTACTATACTTTCATACATTCCCTTCTTTGCCTCCATAGATAACGTTTTTTGACTCCACATATACCTCAACGCACCACTCACCTTTTTTCCCTCATCAATTCTATGATTAACCTCATCCTTCATAAATCCATCCGCCGACACGTCAACTCCCAAGTATCTGAAAACATTCACTTCTTCCATACTCCTCCTCCCCAATTTGATATCCAATTTTTCTTTATCTAAATCATTTGATACCCTCATCACCTTACTCTTTTCTATGTTCACTTTCAACTTTCTACCTTTACACACATTCTCAAACTCATCCACTAACCTTTGCAATTTTTCTTTAGAATCTCCCATAAGCACAGTATCATCTGCAAAAAGTAACTGTGTCAATTCCCATTTTGAATTTGATTCCCCATAATTTAATCCCACCCCTCTCCCGAACACCCTAGCATTTACTTCTTTTACAACCCCATCTATAAATATATTAAACAACCATGGTGACATTACACATCCCTGTCTAAGACCTACTTTTACCGGGAAGTATTCTCCCTCTCTTCTACACACCCTAACCTGAGCCTCACTATCCTCATAAAAGCTCTTTATATCACGTGGGAGTTCGTACACGTGGATTGGGTAAAAATACTCACGTAGGCTGGAAGTACGTATATTGTAACTGAAGTATGTGGTAGGGCGCCACAGCCGATCCTGCCTCTCTCGCTCACTCTCGTATAACTGACTCGCCGCCCACAGTACCCATATGTGAGGGGGTCTTTGAATACTGCTGTGGTCAGCACAATATGAATAGACAGTGACTCAGGCAGAGACGGTTGGTATTGAGTCAACTACTGGTACACTGGTTACTGGTAACTGGTTACTACTACTGACTCTCGTATAACTGACTCGCCGCCCACAGTATCCATATGTGAGGGGGTCTTTGAATACTGCTGTGGTCAGCACAATATGAATAGACAGTGACTCAGGCAGAGACGGTTGGTAGTGAGTCAACTACTGGTACACTGGTTACTGGTAACTGGTTACTACTACTGAGATTTACAGCATTTAGTAACTTACCACCTATTCCATAAACTTGCAACATCTGCCACATTGCTCCTCTATCCACTCTATCATATGCCTTTTCTAAATCCATAAATGCAATAAAAACTTCCCTACCTTTATCCAAATACTGTTCACATATATGCTTCAATGTAAACACTTGATCTACACATCCCCTACCCACTCTGAAGCCTCCTTGCTCATCCGCAATTCTACATTCTGTCTTACCTCTAATTCTTTCAATTATAACTCTACCGTATACTTTTCCTGGTATACTCAGTAAACTTATTCCTCTATAATTTTTACAATCTCTTTTGTCCCCTTTCCCTTTATATAAAGGGACTATACATGCTCTCCGCCAATCCTTAGGTACCTTCCCCTCTTCCATACATTTATTAAACAAAAGTACCAACCACTCCATCACTATATCCCCCCCTGCTTTTAACATTTCTATCATGATCCCATCAGTTCCAGCTGCTTTACCCCCTTTCATTCTACGTAATAAATTTCAGTCATCTCATTTTTTTATCACCCTGCTCTATTACCCTAAGTTTCATTACTCACAAACTAATGTTCCTTACTTGTAGGTATCATTCATAGGCTTCAAAAATAAAAATGCTGTATGGAATGTATCCTACACAAGGCCTATTAATTTTCTTGTTACTCATTATTTCAACAATGTCTTTAACCTTCTTAGTCTCTATGATTTTAACAAAGAGTAAAATATGTATATTTATCATTCTTTATTTTCAATTTTATCATTTTAAAAATACCATTCTTTAGTTTCTGTGTATGCTATCATTTTAAAGCATTTTGTGGTAATAAAATGCATAAAGGTTATACAGTGGACCCCCGCATAACGGACGCCTTGCATAGCGGACAATCCGCATAGCGGACGCTTTGATCGCTAAAATTTTGCCCCGCATAGCGCCCAAAAACCCGCTCAGCGGCCTTCGTCCGAGACGCGTCCAATGTGCGGCCTGAGCCACGCTCACATGTTCCGCGGGTGGCATTGTTTACCAGCCAGCCTCCGCGGTAACATCCAAGCATACAATCGGAACATTTTGTATTATTACAGTGTTTTTGGTGATTTTTTTCTGGAAAATAAGTGACCATGGGCCCCAAGAAAGCTTCTAGTGCCAACCCTACAGCAATAAGGGTGAGAATTACTATGGAGATGAAGAAAAAGATCATTGATAAGTATGAAAGTGGAGTGCGTGTCTCCGAGCTGGCCAGGTTGTATAATAAACCCCAATCAACCATCGCTACTATTGGTGGTACAGCTGCTGCTGCTGCTGTATCACCGTCAGCTGCTGCTGCACTGTCAGCTGCTGCTGCTGTACCACCGTCAGCTGCTCCTGCTGCTGTTAGTACCGTCTGCTGCTGCTGTAGCATCATCTGCTGCTGCTGTAGCATCGTCTGCTGCTGCTGTTAGCATCGTCTGTTGCTGCTGTAGCATCGTCTGTTGCTGCTGTACCACCGTCAGCTGCTGCTGCTGCTGTGGCATCGTCTGCTGCTGCTGCTGCTGTAGCATCGTCTGCTGCTGCTGTAGCATCGTCTGCTGCTGCTGTAACATCGTCAGCTGCTGCTGCTGCTGCTGTAGCACCGTTGTTGGTGTGGCTTATTGAGAATACCAAGAAACAATTAACCCCAGAGGATTTGCCACCCAGGATAGCCCAAAAAAGTCAGTGTCATCGAAGACTGTCTAACTTATTTCCATTGGGGTCCTTAATCTTGTCTCCCAGGATACAACCCACACCAGTCGACTAACACCCAGGTGAACAGGGAAAATGCCTGGAACTAGTGCTCATATTGGTGAATTTAGAGCCAGCAAAGGTTGGTTTGAGAGATTTAAGAATCGTAGTGACATACACAGTGTGATAAGGCCTGTTCTGGAAGAAAATACCAAACAGGACCTACAGTACTCAGGAGGAAAAGGCACTCCAGGACACAGTGTCTCATCAGTCATTGCTGCATCTTCAATAAAGGTAAGTGTCATTTATTCTTCATTTAGTAGAGTAGTACATGCACAATATATATTGTGCATGTACTACTCTACTATTGTGCATGTATCCTTCTCTTTGTGTGTAGGAAAATGTATATTTCATGTGGTAAAATTTTTTTTTTCAAACTTTTGGGTGTCTTGCACGGATAAATTTGATTTCCATTATTTCTTTATGGGGAAAATTCATTCACATAGCGAACATTTCGCATAACAGCCAGCCCTCTTGCACGGATTAAGGTCGCTATGCGGGTGTCCACTGTATTATATTTGGTTTATTGTGGTAAAGCAAACAATTCACAGAAAAATAAAATGATAAAATGCACTGAAAAAATAAATCTTGGTCATACGTCTGATGCTAGTGCTAGCGGACATATGACCAAGGGTAATTTCTATACAGCCTCTCCTCACTTAGCAACGTACTCATTTACCGACGACTCAGACTTACGATGGGCACTCTGACCTGTATGCATACCTAAATAATGTACAGTAGAACTTCGGTTTTTGTCCTTAATCTGTTCCAGAAGGTTGGTCGAAATCCGAAATGGACAAAAACCGAAGTAATATTTCCCATAAGAAATAATGTAAATCCAATTAATCCGTTCCAGACACCCAAAAATATTAACAAAAAATACATTTTATAGTGAATAATTAAAGTTTTACATACAGAAAACAATGAGAAATAAATATAAAGCACTAATTTTAATGGAGAAATGAACACTTAAATCACTTTCACCTTTACTGAAGACTCTTGTCGGCATATTCTTTACAAGATCCGCATGCAACTGCCTTGCCTTTTCGCAAATTATCGCCTCCAGAACACTACCTCCCGCTAACTGTTTTTCATTGATCCACACCAGCAACTTCTCAAAATCTTCAATTGTTTGCCATCACCACCACCCTCTACCACCATCACAACCACAAGCACCCTCTACCACCATCACTACCACCCTCTACCACCATCACTACCACCCTTTACCACCATCTCAACCACAAGCACCCTCAACCACCATCACTACCACCATCACAACCACAACCACTCTCTACCACCATCACTACCACCCTCTACCACCATCACAACCACTACCACCCTCTACCACCATCATTACCACCCTCACTACCACCCTCTACCACCAACGTTTCAGATGAACATGTGGAGTACTGCTCACTGAACAAGTGACAGAGGCAGATTGTGAGCAGCAGCGGCATCCCAGGCAGGCAGATGCATCTGATATGGATGATTTCCGAGCAGATGTACAAAACCCGGGGTAAAATTTTGCCCAAAAAAGTAGTTGAAATCTGAATTGTACGACATTCAGACTGGACAAAAACCAGGGTTCCACTGTATATTAGAGCCGATATCCTGTACAGTGGAACCTCTACTTACGAGTCCCCCAACATGCGAGTTTTTGAAGATATGAGAAGTTGCTAGGTTGATTTTTTGCTTCCAGATGCGAGCAAAATTTCAAGATGCAAGCGGTCCTCATGGGAGGTTCCTTGACACTGGTGAGGAGCTATTGCTCTTAATCTAGGGAATTGGATCTCAGTTGTTTGTTGGGTTATCTTTTTGAAACTTGGGCTATGTATGATGGAAAGATGCTTTTTAACGTACACCAATATTGAAAGAAATCAAACCATAAATAATGGAGTTTGCTTCTCAAACATTAGCCGCCCATTAGCAGAATATTTTCGTATGGTTTTTATGGTTGTATCCTCATTTTTTTTGGTCTCATTTGATAGAATGGAAGATATATTACAGAACTAGATATGATCTTGACTGCTCTCACAACGAAAAGTACTTTGAAATTGAGCTCAAAGTAGCAGAAATGTTTGATTCTTTGGTGATGTTCAAGAGTAAACATATGACGTCACCGTCCAATACGTGTCCACCTGGCCAGTCCCATATGCAGTCATGAATGGATTGACATTATTTATACAATTATTACAATAATGCAGTAGTCTGCATAATAGTAAATCTTCTATTTTTTGTATGAATAAAAATTCCAAATGGTAACCAAGAGTATTATTATAAGAATATGTATGTACTAATTAATAATAATAATCTGTTGGAGCTATGTAATGACGCTTGTGTAAATTATTTCCGAAACATTCTGAAAGGGAGGAAGAAACAAACCTCCTTGGACAGTATTTTATTGAAACGTCCTGCAGATGAAAGTGTGACAAGCGTGGAGAATAAGCCAAAAATCAGTGAACAGTGAAGTAATATTAAAATAAAAATTGGAGCTATGTAATGATGCTTGCTGTGCCCAGCACCTCTTCTCCATCTCTAGGGTAAATGCTGTATTACTACATAATTTCTTTACATTACGTATTATTATTATTGTTGTTTTTCTTACAAAACTACATAATAGTATATCTTGCCTTAAACTGTGGGTGTTGGTGTTTATGAATGACTGTGAAGAGAGTGGAGAGTTATGTTGTGGTCCTACTGGGCTGAGGTGGATGGTAGAGGTTCTGGTACTGAAGTTGATGGTTGCACTGGAGTGTGCATAAATTCTGTAATAGATTTCTGTTCTATTTTACCCTGCAGTACATTATGCAACTGACGGTAAGGCATCAGTTGCTCTAGACACCGTTTTAGGGTGGGAGTTAGTTAAGTCGGTCAGTCAAGTCAGGAAGTCAGTCAGTCAAGTCAGTCAGTCAAGTCATTCAGTCAAGTCAGTAAGTCAGATATGGTAATTAAAAGATCAAAACGCAATTCACAATTCAACAAAAGAGAGAAGAGGAACTGAACACGTATTATTCACGAAAGCTGGCATAGTGGTGTCGGGAGTGTCGGGGGATGGCGGGAGGTCTCCCTCACTTACCCACAAGGCAGCCTGAGGTAGGGAATGGCGCCACCACTTGTCACATAATGACATAGTATTTTATTCATTCTAGAGTATATATCAGGTTTCTATGTTATTTATATTGTTTATTATGTCAAATTAGATGAACTTTGATAGATAAATAAGCCACAGAGTTGATATTAGCGAAATATTGAAATATTCTGTCGTGCCTCCTGAGAGCCGGAATGGATTAATTGCATTTCAATTAATTTCAATGAGGAAAATTGACTCAGCATACGAGCAAATTGGGATATGAGCAAGGTCATGGAATGGATTAAACTCGTAGATAAAGGTTCCATTGTATTCTGTTTATTATAATATACAGTACACTACTGTATAAACATTTAAAAATATGCTAAAAATGTTATAAATGGTGCAAAGGTGACATTAAAACAATATCAAACCCACTACCATTATAGTATGCTCCTTACTTAGCGACGAATTTGTTTACCAATGTGGTCTTAGGAAAAGAACTCCATCGTCAAGTGAGGAGAGGCTGTATTTACATTTTTTTTTTATTCTAATTTATAGCGCATTTTTTCCAGTCATATGTGTAGATGAGCATAAATTGCATAGGTCAGAAGTTGGGGAGGATCTGTATATACTGTATATAGAACAATATGAAAGTAAATATATTCTACAAAATTAAGAAAACTGAGTTATACCTTAGCTTGAGGAAGTGTGTCCACATAAGCTCGGTAAATCTGGCTAAAAGCACAGGACCCATGCCGCAAGAGTCTACGTGGGGTTTCTGAAGTTGCCAGCTGCAACTCCATTAAGTGTCTGTAGACCAAAAAATTATGTACTAACATGAAAAAAATACATAATACACTATCCTCAACATATTTTCAAGTAAGTAGTAGTGTAATCTGCAGAGTCTAGATACCTCAATGAGAGAAACATTTGCACACTCATCAATACCTTCAAGGGTACATAATTTCCCAAATTTACACAATTCAAGTGTTTACTATAATACTGTATACTATAATACTGTACCAAGATAATCGAGATTAACCCTTTCACTGTCGAGACTCCTGCTCACAAACTTACTCTGTGTCGAGGAATTTTCAAAAAACAATAAAAAAAATTATTTTTTCTCATTAAATTATAGAGAATCTTTTCCCAATGGTAATGATACCAAAAGTATGAAATTTGATGGAAAGCTTATGGAATTACGCTCTCAAAAATTTAGCGTCTCGGTGATTTTTAGCAGGGTGTTTTACCACTTTGACCCATAATTTACCAATTCCATTGTTCCGTTGACCAAACTCTGTATTTTGAGAACTTTTTGTTCTTAAAGGGTAAAAAAAAAACCCAATTTCTGATTTCAAATGCCAATAAGTGATAAAATTGGGAAATTTGGCCAATTTCAAAACCAATTAAAGGGAAAGGGCCCAGTTTCAAAATAGGGTCCAGAAAACAATGAAAAATTTCCTAGCCCCAAAATAACATTTTACTCTGTTATTAGTATGTCCCAGGTTCTTTTTACACTTGCTTTCCATTTTGAATTTTTATTCCACAAAAAATAAAATTTTTGTTAAGCAGACTACTGCGTATTGAAAAAATGGTATAAATAATTCAGCTTTTTTTGTAAAAGAAAATTTTTAGGCCCCCAGTTGACGTGATTTTTTCTCTTGAACATCGGCAAAACAATTTTTCCCACACTTTGAGCTCAATTTAAAGGTCCCTTTTATTTCATAAAACCTTCAAAATATCACTAGTTCGTAATATATTTCTTTTTATCAAATGGGGCCCAAAAAAAACGAAAATAAAACTAAATAAAACAAAAAAACCCAAAAAATCGCTTTTTTAAAACCCCTTCAGGGTTGTGCCGTCATCCGGCTTTACGTTGGGGCCCAAAACCATGGATGTCCCCTGATTGTTCATCGAAAGTGTAGGGGAAAATTTGGGCCCTTAAAATATGGAAATAATCTATGGGTATGTGTGCCCCAAACAAAAAAACCCGCGCACACGTGCTAATGGAAAAAAAATACTAGCCAAAATTTTCAATTAAAACAGCAACTTGAGTGTTTTTTTTGGTTTTTTTTTAGTTGTTTTTTGGATTTTTTGGTTATTTGATAAAATGAAGATAATTCAGAAATAAGATGATTCGATTGGGTTTTGTTTTGAAATGGTTAAAAACTGAGCTCAAAGTGGGGGAAAATTTAAATTTTTGCAAATGTTAAAGAGTAAACAAATACTCACAGTCAAATCCCCCAGTGGGGGGGTTAATATAGTTCACAAATGTGCTGATATTTTTTAACAATTTTAAAATATTGCATGACAAAATCTTCTTTTTTTTTTTTGGGTTTGAATAAAAATTCATTTATAAGGTTTTTTGGGTAACGGGTACGGGGAGTAAATGATACACTTCGGAGGCTTCTTCGTTTATTTTTTAAGTGTGGTGGGTACAAGGCTTGTGTTGGCCGGGCCCCGGGGCGGGGCCCATCCACGAGAGAGAGCTGGGAGGCCTTGTGTGTCCTGCTGGCCGCTGGTGGGGGTGGGGGTGAGGAAAGTCGGGGATACGAAGTGGAAAGGCTATAGTGGCACACCACTGGCGCGAAATATGAAAAAGCTGGCAAAAACCCATGGGTGTCTGTGCAGACAGTACAGGTGTTACTACGCTCGGCCACCTACGAGCGTCGCCCCGACCGACAATACGGGTAGTAAAAGAAATCGGTCTCTCTCTCGTAGGAACGGGGACAAAACAAAAAATAAAAACCAATATATAAAGGACATAGAAAAAAAATTTCCTACGGGGAGTGAAAAAAAAACGTGTGGGGTGGCAAACATGTGGATGGCAGTGAGATCGAAGTGCATATGAAACGCCTTCCTGCTTGGGACGATACTGCAACCGGGAGACTTGTGGGCGAGCGTGACGAAAAGGGTTAGGTTTCCCCCTCGGGAAACGGTGAAAGCAGTATCGTAGGAGTCGCTGCGGTTTTCACTCCAACCTGGGGCACACATGGGGTGCCTAAGTGAGGCGTAAAAACAAAAACTCGGCAACTGGGGGGACTTTGGCAAGGATTTGGAGGACACTTCTCGACGGGTATGTGAGGGGGCTGTCACTGCGGCGAGGGGAGGAGTCGTGGCAAGACGACTGGGAGAAAAAAATGGATTAAACATTTTTACACCAGCTGCAGGAGAGATAGCAGTCAAAGTGAATCTTCTTTGTGAGGTGCTCCTGAAGTTGTACACGAGGGCACAGCGCCCCCACAGGGCTGACGCGGCTGGCAGTATCACCCTCCCCGACAGTTGGATTTATAGCAGGGGTTTAGTCTAAGGTCCCAGACTTATTTTCAAATTTAAAACGCATTTGAAGGTCTGGAGGTGAAGTGAAAAAAATCTCGATGGGAATGTAGCGGTCGATTTGCAGAAAACAAGCGCGGCAAAAAAGTTTTCTTAAAAAGGGGGGCTCTCCCGGGGTGAGTAATCAGCTGTCAAACCCCGGGGTACACGGGTGACTTAGCACAGGGTGCTACTCAGGTTGGCCAGACCCCAGGGACCAGGGAAACTTTAACACCCCGCGGTAAAAACTGGCTTAAAAAAATGAGCTTTTGTGCAAAAACGCACTAAGAATATACAAAAATGTGAGAAACCTACTGAGAGGAATTAATTAAAACCAGACATATATTTTCTCCAATTCTTCTCGAAAATATAAAAAAATTTCTAGAAAACTCGATGTGACATCATGTGAGTCGGCGTGTGCTCGCAGCCGGTCAGCAGACATCCGGGTGACGTCAGCAGACATTGGGGTGCCGTCAGCAAATTCGAGGGACGCACAGCACTCGAGGTGCCCCAAACAGAATTCGAGGTGACCAGGCAGCTCGTACGTATAAAGTCGGGAAAGCATCGTGGGGACGTAAATGTGAGCGGGCAGAGACCAGCATGGGGCCGGGGAATCTGGTAACCTGGGTGTAGGCTACGTGACATGCCCACACCCCGTGGGCCCGTCCACGTGGTGTCGTGATCTCGTGGGCGGGGCCACGTCTTGAGTGGCCCCGGGCCTCGGTCACAGCTCTGGCAAAAATTTCACAGGGAAAAACAGCAGAAAAACGCAGGGGGAGTGGGCAGTGGGAGTGGTGTAGGGGTAGACGGGTGGGTGAGTAGGGCGAGCATGGGAAAAGGTGAGGAACAGCCACTTCCCCCTCTCCCCCCCCACCAAAACGGGGAAAACCACCTGGAGCAGAAATCCCAAAAACTCACCTCGACTTGCTGAAACAGCTGTTGAGTGAACAACAACAGTACAAGTGACGCTGAAACGGACTTAAAACGCGGGGGCATGTAAAGGGGACGTGTAGGTGGGGTCACTTCAATTTCGGAAAATTTGGAAAATTTCGGCTGGATCCTGTTGTCCCTGGTCTGGATCAAAAACGTGCAGAACGACTCGGATAATCGTTGAAGGTGCTTTTGTGTGGGGATGAAAGTGAGATGATTCATACTCTTCCCCCCCTTCTTCCCCGGCAAACAATGCTGCGAGCACCCCCGGTACCAATTAAGGGCTTGTTTGGTATGTGCTGCAAGCGGTTTTGGTAAAAGTCGTCTTCGGAGGCTTTTTTTTTATTGTTAAGTCGTGGTGGGTACACAGGCTTGTTTTGTGCCATGGGGAAGGGCCCCCCCACGAGAGAGGGCTGGGGGGCCTTGTGTGTTCCTGCTGGGCCCGCTGTGTGGTGAGGGGGGAAAGTCTGGGTACTGAAGGGGAAGGCCTTAGGTGGCAGCACCAGCATGGCGGAAATTGAACAAAGTGGCAGACAGCATGGGCTGTCGTGCAGACAGAAAGGGTGTCTAAATTAGTGATTAAAAATCAAATGGTTTTTATTTGTAAAGCCTAAAACTAATTAAAACAAAGGAAATGTTAGTTTGTGCCGGAATCGTGCATTGTTTTTTGGCCCCTTATTTTGTTTTTGGAAATATTTTGAATTTGCCAAAATTTGGGCCAAAAATTTACCAATTTCCCAAACACTTTATTTTGTAGTTGAAACAGTTTAGTTGGGGATTTTTGTGCTCTGAAGAAAGAAATAAAACAGGAAATAGCAAGAATTTTATCGACTGGAAAAAGGATTGGCTAAAAGGGGGTCCAAAATCGGCAAAATGCCGTGGTAAAATATCGCTGACCATAAAATTGCGAGAATAATTTATCAATTTTCTATTTTTTTTTTTAATTTCTCAAAAAGATCGTAAAATTTTATAAGAAAAAATAAAAAATATTTTTTGAAAATTCGGACAGGGGCAATTTTGAAAATTAGGCCCCGGCCCGTAGGGCCGAGGGGAAAAAAAAGCCTGTGTGTGGGATCTTTTTTAACCCTGCACATGACCATGAAAAATTTTTTATGGGCCCACCGTTCTCCCGCATGTTGGAACCCTAGTTTTGGGAAAACGGATCGACCTGGGTTGAAACCCTAAAATTTAAGGGGCAAAAAGTGAAAGGGTTAAAAAAGGTTTTTTGACGCCTCTCGAAAAGAGGTTTTGGAAAATTTTAACACAAAAGTTTTCAAAAAAACAAATGGAACAAGGAGGCAAAAAAGAATATTTTTTAGATTCTTCTTCAAAAGTTTGGGACGTAGTTTCCAAAAAGGAAGGACACAATTGGCAAGATGGAAGAAAAAAAAGTTTGGCTGACTGCACCCCCTTTGGTTTGACCTTCCCATGCCGGATCTTGCAACAAGTTTGGGGTTTCACGAAGTTGCAAAAAACACCATACAGAGATTTCCCGGGAAAAAAAATTTTAATTACAATACCATGAATGGAAAAAAAACATTACCCGAAAAGGAAAAATGGATCTAAACAATAGTTAGTTTTCCTGGAAAATTTTAAATTTTGAGTTATTATGGTTTAGGGGAAAAAGTGAAATGTACTGCATTTTAGTATCCATTTATGAGTTGTAGATTCATGGAAAATTTTTTTCAGTAATATTTAAAATTTTTAAAATGAAAAAAAAACAGTAAATTTTAAACGTACAGGACACAAATCTTCATTTGGGTAAAAAACTTAAAAAAAAAAAGTCGCAGCTTAACAGTACAAAAATTCATTGAATCCCCGATTTGTACCATCAATAAATTAGGGTTTAAAAGATTGGTTTTTCGAGGAGGTGGGAGGGTGAGGGCAAAACAAGGTCTATTTTTTCTCTGTTGCTCTCCCCGCACCCTGTGGTGGTAGGTGTCTATTGTCTTTCCTACCTAAGAAAATACCTCATTTGAGAGACTTTAAAAAATGAAAAGCAAAAATTAAAAAAAACTTTCCTTACATGTAAAGAAAAATTTATTCAATGAACCCCGAGTTTAAAGAATTTTGGATTTAATGACAAAAAAGAAGTAGACCAAAAATTCAGAAGCAACAACAAAATTCGTACGTGGACTTTGGGTTTTCGGCCGTTCTGGAAAACTGCAATTTGGGTTTTTACCCCCTTTTTTGGCAAAATTTTTCCCGGTTACCCCTGTTATTTTGGGGGATGGCTATATTTATGGTCCACTCGCTCTTCATGATTTGTGGTCATTGGCTGTGTCTCTGGGGGAGTGAGAAAAAACCCGCGATTCAACCAAACATTTCGCAAAATTTTTTTTTTGGGGGGGTTTGTTGGTGAATGAAATTTAATAAGGGGAAATTTAGTAAGTTTTGGAAAATGGAAAAATGGAATTTGAAAGTTGTTGGTTGGGTTGTATGTGTGCTTGATTGCCAGGTGTAGGGAAATCCCAAAAAACTATCCCCCCCTCCTGGCAAAAAAAGTGAAATCGGAATAAAGTTTCAAAAGGGGTAAAAATTTTTTTATTATAACGGTGATTTTCCCCCAAGGCGGGGGCCCGAAAAAAAAAAATTCACATATTCACTCCATCCCGTCTTTCCCGAAGGGGCTTTAAATAAGTTTTAAACTGCAAAATTAACACCCCCCCTTGAGTGCAGGCACTGTATTCCCCCCTTCCCGAACCAAGCGGGGTGCCGGTTTCCTGAACCCCCCTTATAAGAACTTTTGTACACTCCCCAAAAGCCGTAAAATATAAAAACCCTTTTTTCCCCATTCACTCCCTTTAAAAAACGTTCACCAGCCCGCTGGAAATCCAAAACCCCCCGCACACAAACCCCTTTCCCCTCCCTCCCAAACCTTTTAGGCCCCACCCCACCCCGCCCTCCCTCCCCAAAAAGCGTTCATCTTAAAGTTTTTGTTTCGCTCCATTTTCACAGTCCCAACCACCTCAAAAAATTCCTCAGCCTCTGGAAAACAGTTTTGGTAATGCCGCCCTCCCCCTAAAATTCCCAAAAACAATTCTCTGCAATTTTATTACACCCCCATTGCTTCAGACATGAATCTCCCCCTGCCCCCAGCCTTCCCTCGCTGCAACATTTATCACCCCTGCTTCCAATTAAAAGGCGTTGGTAAAAACTATACTCTTACATTCCCCTTTGCCCCCAAGGAAAAGTTTTTTTGTCTCCACGATCCTAAGTGCACCACTCACCCTTTTTCCCCCCATCAATTTATGATTTCCCCCATTTTCATAGACCCCTCGTGACGTCCCCCCCCAAATACGAATACATTACCCCCCCCATCTTTTCCCCCCAATCTGATATCCAAAATTTCATCACCTAATCTTTTTGTTTTCCTCATAACCCTTTTCTTTCCGTTTCACTTTCAAAATTTTCTTCTTTTGCAACCCTACCAAAAAACATCCCCAATCCTGCAAATTTCTTCAGAAACCCAAAAGCACAGGTCATCAGCAAAGGAACTGGACAACTCCCCCTTTATGTTATTCTTTACTTTTAACCCCGCCCTTTCCCGACCCCCGCTTTATTCTCTTTTCAACCCCCCATAAAATATTAAACAAACCCCGGTGAATCCCCAATCCTTGTTAAGGCTTTCTTTTTTTGGGGAAATTAAATTTTCCCCCCCCAAATACTTACTTTGGGCCCCATATCCTCGTAAGACTTTACGCTTCAGTAAAAAATTTCCCACACCCAAATGAAATCTGCCACAGGGGTAAATGTGTAAGGAAAAAAAGGCCACCCAAAATGAAGATGTGGGAAATTATTGTTTGGGGTGGTCAATGAAACAATTAGAGGAGACATTTGTTTAGTGTTTTTGTGAAAAGGCAAGAGTTACTGCGGATCTCGTAAAGAAAAAAGCCTGGAAAAGTGCTGCTGTTATGAAAATTTGGGCCCGCAAAGGGTGGCTTGAGGATTTAAAAAGTGTAGTGGCATACCGTGTTGTAAAGGGTGGTGTGGTCCAAATTCTGCAAAAGTGCGGCCCAAAACATTTGTTGATGAATTTAAGGGTCGAAGAGGCTAAAAGGATTCCCCCCCAAAAGGTTAAAAAAAGGTGACAAAAAAGGCCCTTTTTGGGAAGAAAATGCCAAAAAGGACCCAATTATGCAGGAGGAAAAGGGATGCCAGGACACAAGCCTATGAAAGCAGGGTTTCTCTTTTGTTTTGTGCAAAGTGGGGGTTTCAAAGTGAAGCCTTTTTGGTGTATCACTTTTAAAAATCCCCAAATGTTCAAGAAAAACAATGTGTCAAAGGGTAAAATGTTGGGGTTGTGGAAAGAATAATAAAGGGATGGGACAAGGCACATTTCCCTTTATGGGCCTTAAGTGTTTTTCCCCCGGGGTGAAAAAAAATCCTCCAGGAAAAAAAATGTCACTCAAGGTTCCGTACGGGCAAAGCTCCGCTCATCCCCCAAAAAAGGTAGCCATTTCTCGGATTAATTTTAAAAAAAGGAAGTTCTTGGGGCCCCCTAAAAAACCCCCCTTCATCCAGCTCAAGGACCAAAGCCCTTTCAATTCAAAAAAAATTTCCCAAAAACGTGTTTCAAAGGGGCTTTGAAGTGACCCCCGACACTGATTGACCCCAAGAGATTTTGGAGGAATC